AGGAGCAACAACACTATAAAACAAACTCAGCTAATGTGACAGGCTGTACCTACTTCTGAATATAATATCTCCCACTGGTGTTGAGGAGACAGACCATGTGATGAACTGAAGTGAAACTGGTTTTGTCTGTTCTGCTATGAATGATAGCTGATGCTCGTTAACCGACCATTTACTGTTAACCAACAAGATTAAAATGTACTATTTAGAAGTGTCTGTGACCCATTAAAAAATACCAATACAACAAAATGTTTGTTTTTTTTGCATAAGAAGGGGTTTATTTTTACATTTGCAGAACCGGCATAATAGCCTCCCGTGTAGGAAAATATTTCATAACTTAAAATAAATAGCAAATAGTAGCTAGACTTTCCAATGTTTAAACAGTTCAACAAAACGAAAACACACACTGAATTCTCCAGCGCCAACAGTTCAGCTCCTCCTCCTCCACCTCCTCCTCCCTCCTCACTCCTCTGCTCTTTGGCAAATTAAATGATCAAAAAGCGCCAAAAGGTGAACAAAACGTAAACTTGTAGTCACATTTTTCATACCTCAAAATAAAATAGACAGGCCAGGTCTACCTCAGTCCTCAGCATAGTGGACATCTTGTCTGCTGGTTTTTGTTCAGAAATAGCAACATGTCGACAGGCTGTGGGGTTAGTCTGCTGTCAGTCTGTTAGCTGTGAGACCCACGACAGAGAATATCCGCTCAGACGGTGCAGATGTCCCAGGAATGCAGAGATAGTGGTGGCCAGCCTCGGCAAGTGCATCTGATTAGCTTTCCACTGGTCAAGAGGATTAGTATCCAATGAGGGAGGATATTTTAGTTGTTTAAGTGATAGTATTAATCGGTCAAAATGCTTATTGTCAGTTAATGGTTAAACGGTTAATTGTTAACATCTCTAATTGACAGCGAACAATGTTTCTTCAGGTTCAATCAGTAGAATAATGAATACATACACAGGTCACAAGACCAGTTATCACTGTCTTCATTTTGTTCAGGTTTCAGGCCATAACTCACAAATTCATACACTATGACACAATTTAACTCAAATGTCCATAAGCATAAAATTAAGTGATGACATTTTATATCCAAAAGGTCAAAGTTTAACTTCACTGTGACATTATAATGTTCTGCAAAAAAGATTGTGACCATATTTCCTGCAACTTGGCTGGTTGGCGGAGGCACACAACTACAAGGCAGTGATTCTAGTTCAAAGGGTTTCAACATTTTCTAAAAAAAAACATGTCAATAACATTACACATTATCAAAAATCGCATTACTCATGAAGAAGAACTCCAGAAGAAGCCATTGAGTAAAGACTCTCCAAAGATTATAGTTGAGACCAAAAACCAAGACACAGCGATCAATTGTGCCTTTGCTGAGACATTGAAGGAGGTATTTTAAAATTTTGCTATATCTACATAGCTAACATCAGCATTACTTACTGTTTACTTACCAGTCTCACCAAGAGCTACAGCCATCATTGTGTTTACAAGACAAGAGGTTATAATTCGTCCTCTGAGCAGCTACTTCTTCAGGGCAGACTGGCCGCTACAGTGTCTTGGTATCAGAAAGTGTTGAAACAGTCTGGCCAGACTGGAGCTAGCTGGTTAGTATGCTAACTTCAGTAGAAGAAAAGACATGATAGATGTAGAAAGATAACCAAATGGTTTGTTTCTACTGCTGGAGACAGCTGTTGGTGAGTAAAGGAATGACGTTTGATGTTGAACTCACATTTCTTCTAGACTGGTAAGTAAACAGCTGCTAATGCTAATGCTAGCTTTGAAGCATAGCAAAACATACATATTGCTCCTTTAAACTGGAGCTGATGTGTTTGTGCTGCAGCTCATTTTATCTCCCTGATGTCATGTGACGCAGGGTGACGATGATTAACCATTAACATATATATTCATATATACCTCCCACAGAGCCTGTCTCTGTCTCTGAGGCTCAGCTGGTCTGAGTCAACAGCAGAGGAACCGATGTTATTCTGTTGAATCTGTTGTCACGTGTCTGAGCTCCATTGTTGTGTATTTACAACAAGGCTGTGAAGCCAGCGCTACTAAAAATAGGACCTTGGTTATTTCTCCCAAACTGCTACTTTGAAAGCTCAACAACAACAACAACAACCTCAACAGGGACTTCTCCAGATCACTCCAGCAAATATCCTGCTCCCTGATCCTCACACAGTCCGTTTCTCATCTGTCAACCTGTCAGCCTCACCATAATAATTCCACCGCTTCACGTTGCCCTGTGTTCAACCTGAAACAGTGACATGATGCAACCACAGACTCCTTCATCTCTGATCTTGCAGGAAGTTACACAAATGAAACAAATCCAATTGACCAGCCTGGAAACTTCACTTTCAGGCTGAGAGGCTCCACATGACATTAAATATTTGTTTACATGAACACAAGCGTGCACGTGTTACAAAATCAGCAGCACACACAGAGATCCATCCATCCATCCTCCTCCTCCTCCTCCTCAGTGTGTGTGTGTGTGTGTGTGTGTGTGTATTTCTGCAGCATGTAATAACAATGCTCTACAACCTGAATCTGAACTGATGATTATGTCTAAAAAAGACAGAGAGAGAGACAGAGAGAAGAGGCTGGAGACAGGCAGCGCTCCGGGGGACGAGAGAGCTACACAGACAGACAGAGAGAGAGAGAGAGAGAGAGAGAGAGAATGAGCGAGTGAGGCGAGAGGAGTACGTAGTGAAGGAGGCAGGAATAATCCTTATTAAGGTAATTAGTGTTTCAGGAGACAAAGAGTAATTAAAAAGAAACAGGCTGTAAACTGTGTGCTGGCTAAATATAACTCAGACTACACAACGTCTGCGTGTGTGCGTGTGTGCCATGTGCGTGTGTGTGTGTGTGTGTGTGTGTGTGTGTGTGTGTGTGTGTGTGTGTGTGCATTAGACAGCGGTGGTGTGTTTACAATGAGATCAAGAGAATGCTTGGCAGGACGTCAGCCTTGTAAAGCCCCAGGATTCCACATGGGAAACACACACACACACACACACACACTGACAAGCCCTCAGAGGAAACAAACATAAGGCTTGAGAGCTTTTGGTACACACAGTGGAAGAGAGGAGGCACACACACAGGCACACACATACACACACAGTGAAGTGGAGCAGAGAGGATTTCTACCTGAAGAAGTTTGTTCTTCATCAGCTTTCATCTTAATGTCAACATCTCTCTCTCTCTGCCTATGTCTCTCTCTCCATCTCTCTCTCTGCTGCTGCTCATTCTTCATCCTCACTCCAACGTCTGTGTGTGTGCGTGTGTGTGTGTGTGTGTGTGCACTGACTAACCCTCACAATCTACCACCACATTGCATCATGAAGGACAAAGCCATTTAAACCATCACAACAACCACAGCACAAAGTGACATCATTCAAAACCTCAGTTTACTAACATATAAGAAAAGCAAAGTCTCACCATCAACCATTACAACAATTAATCAGTGAAGAAAATAGTTTCAGATTCATTCAATCAACTAATCAACTGAGTGAATCTGAGTTGAATCTTAGTTTTAATATAAATCAGGGTTGATAGTGATTTCTCTCCAGCAGGTTATCAAACAGCTGATTGAATGGATTTGAATGGACACATTTTACAGGTAAAACCAGAATCACCTCCTCATGGTTGTCTGCCTCCACCACTCAAACTAGTTTCATGTTATGTTAGGAGTCATATAAAATATGAACCATTTGTGAGACATTTTGTCATAATTGCTGTGTGAAGTGGCTAACAAGTGTTTTGTGAGTTCATTTTTGAGTTCAAGTCAATGTTTGTGCCAAATTTGACAGATTCCCTCGAATAGTACTTGAGATATAATTTTTACAAGGCCAAACAGAATTTGGTGATGTCACAGTGACCTTGACCTTTGACCAATCTAATCAGATCATCCTTGAGTCCCAATGAAAGTTTGTGCCAAATTTGAAGAAGCTCCATCAAGGTGTTACTAAGATATTGTGTCAACAAGAAACAAGAAGAACAACCACAAAACAATAGGCCATAACAATAATAATAACTAGTCAAGAACTGAATGAAAATTTTCAATAATTAAACTGACCTGAATCTGACCCTGAAACAGCCCATGGTGAAGTGTTGAAGTCTCTGTATATACACGTCATGTTTACCTGTTAGATAATATATGACTCCACTCCTCAGCTAACACAGATGTAATGAACTCAACTGCATAATAACACAACACAAGTGGTCCCAGTGAGCTTCCCTGAGGGACACCATAACTTTGGTACATGATGAACTATGAAAAAAGTTCAGTTCAGTCAGCTGTGTTAGATATGAAGAAGCAGCTCAGCAACACCAGCTGATGAACTATCTCTAGACCATCCAATAAAGACATTTAGACAGAAACATTCAGAAACTAAAATCACTACTTCATGGTTATATGCCTCCACCACTCAAAGTAGTTTCAGATTACATACCTGTTTGTTCAGATTTATATCAAATATTACACATTTTTTTTAAATTTTGTCATCATTGCTCTCTGAAGTGGCTAAAAGTGTTTTGTGAGGTCACAGTGACCTTGACCTTTGATCTTTGACCACAAAAATCGAATTAGTTCACTCTTGAGCCCGAATGCACATTTGTGACAATTGGGAAGGGATTCCCTAGAAGAGTGTTCACAAGACCGAAACCGCATGTTGTGAGGTCACTGTGACCATGACCTTTGACCACCAAAGTCTAATCAGTTCGTCCTTGAGTCCAAGTGAAGGATCATGAAGTGAAGTGTCCATGAGAATGGGACGGATATGCGGAAAGCTGGACAGACAACCCGAAAACAAAAACAATCCAACAAACATTAGGATGAGTTAGAATACACACAGATCTGAACAGCCAGTGAGAATCCAACACAGCATATCGCCTGATATGATCGTGTCAAAGCCTGTGAAAGACTGATCAACATCAACACATCTGGAGATACTTATTAAAGCCATGCAGCAGGTCTGTCTGGTTTGAGGCGGTCTCACCTGGTTCAGTACAGTTCTTCTCAGGCTCAGAGTACAGTTTGGACTCGTTGTCATAGATCTCCTGCAGGAGGTGACGACTGCCCCATCTCGCCTCCTCCACAACCATGGAACTGGACACGTGATATCCTGAGAGTCAGAGGAGACAAAGAAGATGATTGGATCGTTGAATGGTCACATGATGAGTCTTTTTCTAATCAACAGACCAGCAGGAAACCATTAGAGGAACTTCAGGTACAGACAGGCAGATGATTCATAAAGACAGTTTTATATCACATTGAGAGAGTGGGTGTGCTGCTGTTACAGATGAACAGTGACTGTATTCTCAGAACAGCTGTATAATTTGTTCACTGACTCCTGAACAGTGTGAACTCTGAACCGAGGAGACGTGCAGCCTGTGTCACTGCAGCTCCTGCAGCAGCATTATTACAGCAGCACGCCAAGCGCCGCGAGGCCCATCATTCCAGCTCAGTCGCCAGGGCCACTGTATCCTTAAGCGTCCCACCTCTGACCCATCTCCACTCCCACCATGCAACAGGCATGACTGAGGTGCAGAGCACGCTGGGATGTCTATAAATAGAACCACACTCGGCTATCTTTAAAAACAAACTGCGTCACAGCACTACTTTCTCTTTGTATCTATTATTCACCTGAGTGCTGACTATAAAACTGCCCTTCTCACACATTACTCATCTCATCACTGATCAATACTGATCGATCAGATGTGCAGTGACACTTGTTTACAATGTAGACTTCTACAGAGAACTGAAATCTGACAAGACAAAGCTTCTACACACCTAATGTGAGAGGTCAATGGTGGATTTTTAAAGGCTGATATAATGACGATTGTTTGGAGCAGGAAAAAGCTGATAGCTGATCAATTGGCTGATATCACACACACACACAAGCACACACACACACACACACACACACACAGACTTCATTGAGTGTTGTAGGGAGCTGCTGAACACAGCAGAAGTCACCACTGCTGAAGTTACTATGGTGACATGACGTAACAGATAAGATGCTGGGAGGTGGGGGGAGGTGCATGATATAACACTGAGTTACTCACACGCACACAGACACACAAAACAATGACTAACCACACTACAAGCACATTAGCTGTGCTGTGCAGACACACACACATGTTCACACACTCCCCTCAGTCAGTCACACAGGCAACACACACCTCAGCAGCTGCAGGCTCTGATGAAGAGATACTGTGAGTCTATCAGGGTCATGTGAAAAGTTAACAATGAATGTATAGTTTGATGTTCATATGAACTCTGGTCTGTTTTAAGATCTGATCTGAAGTCAGTTTATTTGTGTGCTGTATTAATGGACTGCACTGGGTCAGGGCTGTCTTAAACAGTCTGTTTAACAGACACCTGCTGGAGAGTCAACACACAACAGAGCTCTACTGACCAGTATGGAATGATTCTGGTCCTGATACTGATACTGGTACTGATACTGGTCCTCATACTGGTACTCCTACTGTACCTCATATGGTCCTGATACTGGTCCTCATACTGGTGCTGATACTGGTAGTCATACTGGTCCTCATACTGGTGCTGATACTGGTAGTCATACTGGTCCTCATACTGGTCCTGAAACTGGTACTGATACTGCTCCTCATACTGGTCCTGATACTAGTACTCATACTGGTGCTGACACTGGTAAAGATACTGGTCCTGACACTCGTCCTGATACTGGTGCTGATACTAGGTCTGATTCTGGTCCTGACACTGATCCCGATACTGGTACTCATACTGGTCCTGATACTGGCCCTGATTCTGGTCCTGACACTGATCCCGATACTGGTACTCATACTGGTCCTGATACTGGTACTCATACTGGTACTCAACTGGTCCTGATACTGGTCTTGATATTGGCCCCAATACTGGTACTGACACCACTCCTGATACTGGTGCTGATACTGGTGCTGACGTTCATGATCCCAGAGGATGAGACTTGATGACTGTGTTCTGGCGTCCTGGTCTTGGAAATGTTTAGATGTTGACAGAGCGGGTTAAAGTTTTTATGACCTAAGTCCATTCACCTAACACTACTGTCATTATTTGAACACAGGAAATAAAAGTTCACTCTCCTCAGAGGATGAACCCTCCCTGTGGTCCATCCTCAGGTCACTAAAACCACTAAAACCACAGTTGGAGCTCACTCTCTGCAGTAGCTACTCTCACTCTACACACAGTTCACATGCTGATTAGTGCAGGTCTACACACACTGAGAAATGCAGACACACAGCTGAATTAGTGTGTGAACACTGCTGAATTGTGTCCTATATTGGCCACCGTCCTACATCTACATGTCTATAAGTCCAAGTCAACCTCATAATGTCACCCAACATGGCCACTCATCGCTCCATACTGTCACGCTTAATTAGCTACTTTATCTTCATTAGTGTCCCTTGGCAGGAATGTACATGCATGTATGTATGTGTGTATGTGTGTATGTGTGTATGTGTGACATAGGTCTGAGTGTATCTGTGTGTGTGTCTCGATGCATAGCATGTGTGCGGTGTGTGTGCTGTATGCATTTGTATATTGTGTATGTGTGTGAAGGGCCATGGCTGGTCTCTGCTGCGCGTATCAATGTGTGCATATGTGTGTTTGTGTGTGTGTGTGTGTGTGTGTGTGTGTGTGTGTGTGTGTGTGTGTGTGTGTGTGTGTGTGTGTGTGTGTGTGTGTCTAGAGAGAGGAGAATCAGGCCATGAACACGTGACTCATTCTATACAACATGCTACACGTGATATCAGCTCCTCATCGCAGGACAATAACTAGGTTACTGTTTTGTATCAGTTATTATACAACACTTGTGTTATACGCACACATACACACATAGACACATGTATACTGTACCTACTTTTCTGAAAAGAAAGTAGTAAGTAGGAAAAGAAGGAAAAATCTCTGGGTTTCAGAGTGGTGGTTAGAAAATAACATGTATGAAGACAATCAATCAACTGATCAGGAAACCAATAATGAAACTAATCACTAGCTGCAGCCCTGTAATTATGATGATCTAATAAACATTTAAATTAAACATCATTTAAACGTGTGGAGTTTCTCTGCTCATGTCTCACAGACGGACCAGCTGTGACCAGGGTTAGAATTACGGGGGGGATCGGGAGATTTCTGACCCCCCTGATTAAGACTTGGACCCACAGTTCAGGGGGGTTAAAACATTTATATATCCTTCTTGCCAATAACTGTAAATATTACAATATATTTCTTAGTCGTGCCTAGAAGAATCTTGTACTACAATTTAAGTTTCCCCTAAAGTGGACCGTACCATTTCTTAACCTTGACATTAGCTGAACGTCTCATCACAGACTCTGCAGGTAAATGTCAGTAGCAGTAGCTATCTATCTAGCTTGTTTAATACACTTAACGTTCTTACCTTCAGAGTGTCTGAATTAGATTGTGTCAAGTATCTACAGATGAATGCTTTAGCCTTAAGTTTAGGTAATTGAATAATAGTAAAATCCATGTGTGCTGAAGGCTCAGTAATTGTATCAGCAGTTGTATCAACACATTTTGACCTTTGCACACAAATTGCAATTCAACATGACACTTTTTGCAATACACTGCACACAGTTCTCTATGTTAAACACAGGAATCTGGCATACAATCATTTGTTTGCCATTTCAAAACACTGCTATTCAAAATGCTAAACCTATGGACCATTTGGCCAATATACATGCTGCCTGGCCAAACACCCTACTACTTAATTATTGACTCATCAAGCAGGATGTAAGCACTGTAAAAATATACATTTTTACAACAACGATGGAAGCAGCAGCGAGAGGAAGAAGTGGAGGGAGGGTGAGAGTGCGAGGTGGAGGAAGAGTGAGAGGTAGAGCTAGAGCCCTGATATGTGACAGTATGGAACAATGTCAGCTTCCATCGTACAGCCCTGATCCAAAACTGGTTTGTTGACCACCCACAATTTCTTGTTCAGGACCTTCCACCCTACTCTCCATGTCAGGCCCAGCTGAGTTTTTCTCTGCATGGTTGAGGAAGGTGTATGACCATCAGCCCTATGTGCACATGTCTCTTCAACAGACAATGGGGGAGGAATGTGATGATGCTGACGTGGGTGCTGTCCAGGACGGGAAATGATTTTTCCCTCACTGATGTTGATGAGGTGCTGTGGTCAGACCCAGTGAGGTGATAAATATTTTCTTTTGTTTTGTCTCTTTTTTTCTATATATTTTTTCCTCGAATTTAATTATCTGTTTGTCGTATTTGATAGAGCTTTTTTTTGTTCCTACAACCATAATGTAGGATGTACTGTGCATTTGATTGATTGATTGATAGATTGATTGATTGATTTGTTTTAACAGTATTTGTGTTTCGGCACATATTTCTGTAGACAAGAACAATTTCTCTCAGCAGAATTCTCTTCATTCAGAACTATGATGACAAGACCACCAAAGATGAAAGTGCTTTGGACTGAGCACAACATTGTGTAGTTGGATGAACAAGAATGTGCTGATATGAATGTAGTTTTTGTTATTTGGTGCAAAAGTTTGATTTGGATAAGAGTTTATATGCATTTGAATGCAGAGCTTCATTTTGCAGGATATATGAGGTGTTTTGCACTTTGGGTATTTTAAAAAATGAGCTCTGTTTTTAAAATGGTGCCTAAACAATTGTAAAAAAAACTGTAATCAAGCAAGATACTATAAGGACTGTAAGCACTGTACTGGGTTCTCTTTCGTCCCAGAGAAGTTGACCCCTGTGGAGGTCACTGTGTAATCCCACCACATTAACCTCTCTCTACACTCTACAGATTAATTCACAAACTAAACACATGTAATCCTGTAAACTGCACTATTAAACCTGTCGCCCCCCCCGAGATGGTGTTCATGCGACCTCTTATGAAAATCAGTGTGTAGTTGTGTCTCTTTGTCTATGAGTTGTTAGCAGTAGAACAGCCTCCTCTAAATGTCTGATATGGTTTCAGATAATTGTTCAAGGACAAGGAGCAACTCTCCAGTTTCACACAAAGTTTAAGATTAGAACAAACTGAATCCCGATCAGTGGATCAGAACTTTGTATCTTCTTCTCCCATGAATCATCTGACGACTCAGTTTTATCTGCTGACCCTTTGGAGGGGCCCGACCTGGATCAGGACTAACAGGTTATGATACTTTAAGAACATCTTGGTGAATAGTAATTTATTCACCTGTAACACCAACATCACACCATGATCCTGGGGGGAAGACTGCAGCCTGGCTCTGCTCTCACCACGCACACACATGTATACAGCTGATGGTGTGTAGAGCCTCAAGTGTTCAGTACGCTACACACATGCCTTAATGACACCTAAAGTGTTTATACTGTGTTCTGAATGACAGGCAGGTGAAAAGCCAGTGTCCCCTCTCTTTTAGCTCTGTGTTTGGTCTCCACCAGCTCCTCTTTAGTTGCTAAATGCTCCACTGTGTTCACCAGCAGCTCTCTGACTGTCTGTCTACTGTTTGCTGCTCAGCAGGTAGAGGAAAGTGTTTCTCTGAAAGCAGCTGAGGTTGAAAATGAGAGACAGTGTGAAGATGAGCTGAAGTATATATTGATCAGAGCAGCTGTGAGTGTTACATGTGCAGTGGACACTTGTATTTATCAAACACCTTTGGTTTAAGCTCCAAATCATCACTTCTAGGTTCCTCTTCATGCCGCATCAAAACAGAACAAACACATGATCTCCAGTGTCTGCTGTCACAGAGAGAGCTGCTCCACACACTACTGACTCTGAGATGATCAACTAGCAGATCTAACTGTCCTAACTGTCAGTCTGAGAGTCAGAGGAAGAGTGAGAGTGCAGGAGCATCAATAAATCAATAAGACTGCGAGTGGTTAGAATGATACAATCTCTGTGTTTTAATGTTCCTGTTTCCACATACTAGAAACACACACACACACACACACACACACACACAGTGTATATTTTTGTATATTTATATTTCCCCCCTTGCATTTGCATCAAATGTGTTATAATGTGTCCGCACAGTAGATCTATATATGTGAAGCCCATTAGAGGTTTTTCTTTAATTGTTGCTTAACGAACTCGACAGCTCGTTAATGACCTCATTAGCTGACAGCGTCAGACTCCTCGCCTGCTGTGAGCGTGTAAGGCTGCTGTCATCTCAGACAGTTCCATCCCTCTCATCTCTTGGCCCTGACTAACCAGGGAACAGGGTCACATAGGAGTACTCTGCTCCTTTTTTTTTTTGGGTGGGTGGGGGGGGGGGGGGGGGTTGTCTGTGCCCAGACAATGTGTGCTGTGTTCGGTGTCAGGTACCTGTCATTTGTGCGGTCCTCTGAAAAGGACATATAAACATTCATAACTGCTTCCAGCTGGACACTCAGCAGCAATCACATGTTTTCTTCAGGAGATGATCAGTCTACTACAGTATTTGACACTTTTTATTTATTTATATAACAGTTTACTGTCAGTATAATATAATGCAATTCATATAATCTACTGTTGGGCGGCACAGTATTGCAGTGGTTAGCATTGTATCCTCATAGCGAGAAGGTTCTGGGTTCGAACCTACTCAACCACTAACCCTAGCAACAAAACGTTACCATGGGTCATAATAACCTGCTGTACAGACGAACTATGGGCTCATTTCTTACACAGTCACAGAAGAGTATCCGTGCTAGAAGAAGCAGCCGCATTAAAGTACCTTAAAATAAATCTAATTAAAAAACATGAGAAGGACCATAATAACTCATACTGCATAGAAATATAAATATGGAGGTTGTTCATGTGATGAAGAAATGACAATAAAACTGGTCTGAAGTGACTATCATCAAAAAAACATAAAGCTAG